TTACTCTCAAGTCTGTGTGGGGGTCAACAGCACTCATCATCAAAAATAACATCCGGATTTTCAACTCTAATATAAAGTCAGTGCTACTCACTATACGGATCAGAGACTTGGCGCGTCATAAAGAGCACCTCAAACAAACTACAGACCTTCATCAACAGTTGTCTTTGCTCAATACTCAAGATCAGATGGCCGGCCAGAAAAGATCAGCAACAAAGATCTCTGGGAGCGAACCAGCCCAGCAGGAACCGACTGTGAAACAAATAGGCAGGAAGAAATGGAGATGGATTGGCCATACGCTGAGGAAACCATCAAGTGGCATCACTAGACAAACCATCGCTCGAGTGGAACCCGAAAGGAAAGCGGGTGGCGAGTTGGTTGTCGGTGCAAGGGTGACTTGGAGGAGGTCATGTGAAGGGGGGAGATGAAAGCGTGTGGGCAGACTTGGATCGGGGTGGAAAAGTTGTGAGAAAACAGAAGGCAATGGAGACGCGCGTCTGATGACCTATGTTCCTCTGGGAATTAAAGGATATAATAATAATAATTATTATTGCATGATATTTCCCTTCCTCCAAGATCTTCAAATAAAATATTAATCGACAGCAGAGATTGTGTGACATAATTGTTTATGACCTGAAGTGCGAACCAATCCACTATGATATCTCTTCTTTTTCTCCTTTGAGAAATACAAGACGACATTTTGTTGAATGTCAGGCGAAGTTCAACAATAGCGTCCCAGGTGTGTTAACGCTCCAATGATCTTGAACGCATGCTAGTCATTGGCTAACGGCATCTATCATTATCATAGCTGAAATATCAACGCTATTCATTAATTTAGGAGCAAATTGCATCCAGATCACGTTTTTAAGTAATGTTTGGACAGTGTATTAACAGCTTGTTAAGGTTAGGAATAGGGTTAAGGATAATATCCAGCATAAAACTTCTAAAAATTGCACAGACTCACCGAATTGAGCCTGATACATCTCATAAAATATACATCCAAAACCTGCAAAGGGCAGGGTCAGTGAAAACAGAGTTTATACAATAATTCCAAGGTGTAAATGTATCTAATGTATTTCTATGTTTAGAATGTGAAAATTCGAAAGTTTCTAGCAGATATTGTATGTAAATAGCTTGTTTACAGTATGAAAGAGTTCGAACGCAAATGTAACGCAAGCAATCATCTCGCACTCAGATTTGGTCCCGAAATATATCTCGTAATTTGGACGATGAACTATTGTGTTTTGTTTTGCCTTTGGTCTACGCTGAACGAATACTATAGAAGTTGTTGGTATTAGATCTTGCGTTAGTATACTTCGTACTATCCGTGAACGTCAATACTGTCAGCATCTAAAATAAGAACCCAACAGGTCTGAGGTATACCTAAAAACTCTAGGAGATTGGGTACAAATGCATGGAATGCTTTTCAACCTCATCAAAAGCAAGGCAGTTAGCATCCGATGAAGAGATCAAGTTACTCCCTACCTAGGTGGTGATAACTTGACCTGTACAGCGAGCGTCACAGCACAATTTACTTTCCGCTCTAATGGACAAAACTAATGCAATTGCGAATTAACCCTGTAACCTGTGCAGGGTATGAGTTCTTTGCACTCCGCCTGTAGGCATTTTCGTGCCATTGTGCCAGGACTCCTTCTAAATTCGTATAAAAAATGTATATAACTTCAGTCTGAGGGGCATAGTAATATTTCTGCCAGCAGCACCATTCCCACCTCAAAGTGGCAAAAACATCTTGACAAGGTACCAAAGAAGTTCAACGCAGGAGGTTGAGGCAAAAATCGTATAACGAAAGGTTGAGGTAACAAAGTTTTCCTGCACGGAGTTACTACCGACAAATGGGTGATATAACCAGTTTCTCAGATAACAAATGCCCAGCAGAATGTCGAAAAGGATATATTGCCATTAAATCATAACGGATTATGTCATGGAAACTAACGAAGGATCGAAGACGAGATGGAAATAGAATTTATTACGCTCCTATTTCTTTTTTTTCATAAAGTCTGCCGCTTATGAAACTATTTGCAAGCAGCCGTATCACCTTTGATGTAGCAGTGATATACTGAATTTATCAGCGAGTCTCAATTGAAATCACTTGAAGCGCCACTCAGTCTCCTTTGTCTCACCCTTCTGGCTGTACTACTTGTCCACCTGTTTTATATTTCTAATTTCCTTTGTTGACAGTCTACCTATTTGTTTGTTGACTTTGCTCTTTAAATTATTTGCGAACAGTCCAAAAACTCAACCATACCCTACTTAGCTCGTGTTCTGTGCGATAAAGAAAGCATTAGGCGTGATACCTATAACTTATTAAATAGTCAGTAGAACAACTGGATCTCGTCTTTGCAACTCACATCATTTATAGGTACAACGTTTTCTTTTCCTTTTCTCTCTTTTTTCTGTTATGTGCTGTTTTGTTTCTCTCTTTCTTACAAACTCTACTTAAAACATTCTTCTTCGTCCTCTCACACTCTGTATATCTCGACCTTTTGTTACCGCTTACACCAGTAAATAAGCTAGTATATCTACTTTTCTAACACCTTCAAGCACCCTGTTCAATTTTGGCTTTGCTACCGACATGCCAATATCTTGTTGTCATAACTAACTGAGATTACCCACCCATAATCTATGTAGGATTTTATTGTTTATTGTTAATGTACTAAATGGATAGAATACTGTAGTGAAATGGTGAGAATTTTATTCTGTATCGTAGATAATGTTTTCGAATAAAGAAAATTATAATCTCGCTCTGCAACACCTCAAAACTAAGGTGTAAAAGAACTAACTAAACGCACAACCTCGCCATGGTCTTGTAAGGTACTAATAGTGCTACTGACTAACTGCTCTATAGCGGCCTTACTAAATTTAGTATATCTAATTACCCAGTCAATCACTACTCCACCTATCCTGTAATTGTGGTGAGAGCTGTCTGCTAACTGGCCAAAATTGGTAGACAATAATTTACGTCAATGTTCTAAATGTCCCCAATATTGATCATGAGAAAAATAAAAAGAAGAAGAAGAACAAAGGCTGACTCAACCAACAACAAATCACAGCACACTTTGTTTGCGTAGGCGGATACAATGACCAGACAGATAGATAGGCGATCTAACCTTCAGGAAACAGTCACAAAGAGATGAAACAACCAATCAGAAGACTGTGGTGTTTGTCTGCTAACAAATATCGATTGATTTCGTCAATAGACGATTTGTTGCCTGGCCCTTGTCTTCTGCTGTTACACTAGTAGTGGTAGTAGCGAGTTTACAATAAAATCATAAACTTCATACAATTGGTTGCCTTAATAAATTTCGATAAAGAAAGAAAGACGAAGCTTGCAGTATAAAATGATATCATTCTATTTTACAGGTTCTCATCAGATGCAGACTACCTAAAATTACAATGGTTATATTTTTTTTTTCCGTCACGTTCCCCAGTGGAACATAGGGCTTCAAGCTAGTAGCTTGAAGTTTCTGTAGCAGAGTTTATTTTACAGGATGGGGTTGCTAGCCTCATGCACAACCTTTCCTCTTTGCCAGAATTATTTCTGGCTTAGAGAGGTAAAGGAGTGCGTCGGCCGGGGATCGAACCCCGGACCATGTGCATGGTCGGCGAGCGTCTTGACCGCTATTCCACCACAATGGTTATATAAATGATAATAACTTACTTTAATGTTCGAGTGGTACTAAAGAAGAGTTAGGATTGACGCATCCAAAATGAAAGCATTACAATTTTAGTTTAAGTTTTCATCATCAATTTATACGCTTTTGAAGCTGAAAAGAGGAGGAGGGTAAGACAGAAAAAATTGATTGACAGAACGGTGTTAGCTTGTAGGTTCACATAGCAACTCCAAAAAGCAAAGCGGTTACAGTTTATGAGATTAAGACGTGTTCAATGAGTTGAGATCACTGAATTAGATGACTATTGTAATTAATGTTATCAAAACCCGCTTACCATGGATTGCTAAACCATATAAGGAGGGAGGGATCATCTGAGACACTCAATCCCTACGTAGGATCCTTATTAACAAAGCAGGTGGCACTTAGACCTACAAACTCACTCACTCAGGTAGGACAAGCTCTGTAGGTTAAGTTAACTTAAGGACGCTGTCGGTTGACCCGATTAGACAAAATAATATCATTTACAAAATACTCTGCAATGACTGTCAGTTAGGTCAACTACATAGGTCAGTTAAACTAGTAGGTCAGGGGTAGTTGGATTGTCTGAACAACTCGTGTTAATATGCCGTGTTAAGTATTGTTTACTACACATCATACAAGATCTATTTATATTATTATTATTACCATCCAATTCCCTGTAGGTGGTGATTCAGCAGGAGTAGAATGTCTGCAATCACTCACGTTGTGTGCTTTTCAATTCGGCTCCAACACACTTCTAAACCCTCATCTAACCGGTTTCTAAGTCCGGGAAGGTTGCTTGTGAACTGTGAATGGAATGAAATAAACACCGTATTTTGAAAGCCAACTAGCTTGTTAGGCAATTCAACCCCTGGAACCCGATTGTCTGAGTTGGTGGCCGACAATGCCTATTTATTTATTTTAAATAAATATTTCAGCTAAATCATTATCAAACACCATGGTGGTGGTGGTGAATGAAGAGAAGTGAAAAATGCACAGAGAATATGTCATCCACTGTTATACCATATAACGAGGGAGCATCTGAGACACTCAATCCCTACGTAGGATTTTGAATAAAGCAGGTGGTGGCATTTAAACCTAAAAACTCACTCACTCAGGTAGGACAAGCTCTGTAGGTTAAGTTAACTTAAGGACCCTGTCGGTTGACCCGATTAGACAAAATAATATCATTTACAAAATACTCTGCAATGACTGTCAGTTAGGTCAACTACATAGGTCAGTTAAACTAGTAGTAGGTCAGGGGTAGTTGGATTGTTGGAATATAAGAATTTAGCACCACCAATTAGAAGATTGTGTTTTACTGCTAACAAACGATCTGTTTGCCTAGACCCTGTCTTCTGTTGTTACATACATCAGTAGTAGCGGGAGTAGCGAGTTAACAATAAAAATCACAAGCTATATTATATAAATATTCTCAATTCAAGTTGTTGTTGTTGTTGTTTTTATTTATTTATTTATCACTGATATCTAAAGAAGTGTGCAACAAAGAAAAATGAAAATATTAAAGAAATATCACCCGTCTGGCGGCTCTTTCTATCCGCCTGTCTCTATGCGAACGTAGTGAGTGAGTGAAGTCCATGTAACACCATGTTTAAAAAAACCAAAAAAACTCCTTAAAGTGAAATAAAATAAAAATAAATAAAGTCAAAACAAAAATTTAAAAAAAAGAATAAAATAAACACCACAGTAGTAGTAGGAGGAGCGGTAGGGAGCATTTTTGTAGCAATACCTCTACCCGTATAATAATAATAATAACAATAATAATAATAATAATGTGTAATCCATACAAACCAAAGAAAATACTTTGATAATATTATGAAATAAATAAGTAAAAAGGGGGACAGCTCCATTTAAATTACAACAAACAGAGAAAAAATATATATATCAGAGACATTGTATTCCCGCAGAGAAATAATACTAATAGTAATCATACTAGTTTATATCTGAGAGGAGATTTCAACACAATGATGAGTGAGATAAGAAAGATTTTATTTATTTATTTTTTCTTTGTTTTATTCAAAAATGTTGTTGTTGTTGTTGATGTTCAGAATCGATCATCTCAGGCTCCATTTCATAGTGTTTAAAATCAGCCAGCACATGTGCAAATGTTGACCAATCTTCAGTGTTTGGTTGTGAAAGACTTTCGTGAACATTGCATATACTGACACGACCAATATCATCACCAGCGGCTAAGTATGAACCAGATGTATGCCAACGACATTTATTTATAGAGACTACATCAACTGCTGATATGGATGAGGATAGTGATGTGGACGGAACACCTATATTACTGGATGACAATAGCATACGACGAGCAACAGGCACCTGAAGTGAAAAAGAAAAGAAAATTAAAACATAGCATGATTTATTATTGGAGAAAAAAGTTTAATTGCATGGAGGATTTCATCATCACCTCTGACATCAATCAGAGAACCCCTGGAAGACCTCCAAGGAGTGTACTGGACACCTGTTTCGACAGACTCCTTTGGAACTCTTCATCGGTACGCACCTATCTCCAATGTTCGAACTCAGAACCTTTTCGTTACAAGGGGAGCACTAGGACGAAACAGCTTCCAGTGGCTCTCTAACTGATGTCAGCTAATGATGAAGTCCTCCATCTAATCAAGCTAAATCACTCAAAAACCAATACTGAGAAAATAAGTTTAGTCAGACAGCCATACAGAGATAACAAAATACACTAAGTTATTTTCGAGGAAGACCAGTAACAACAGTAAAGCGGTATTTGTACAGGTTTAAACTAGTTCAAAGGTTAGAAAGAAGAGGACACGAAGTTCAAAAATGATGACAATCATTTCGGCGATTCCATTTATCAAAAGTAGCTCTACAATCGCCGAAATGATTGTCATCTTTTCTGAACTTCGTGTTCTCTTCTTTCTAACTATTATTTAATTCGATTGTAAAACAGTACACCGGTCAGTGAAGTCTGCTAACGACGACTGCAAAGTGATCAGTCAACCATATGATCCAGGGATCTGAAACATTCTGTTCAATGTTGCGTAGAAGAAATCAATCATTGTTTAAGTGTGCATATATATAGAAGTTACAATTCATATACTGGCTGCTGTCCATTGAGGAATCGGGTCCCAGTGAGTGGTGGCTGAATGATATACGAGCCAGCCAGGTAGCTGGCCTTGCAATTGGAAGGTCCTAGGTTCGAACCCCGATGTAGAGGGTGCGTACTGCCGATGATTCCCAAACTAGGCTGATGAAACAGCTGTCCAGTACTTACCGCAATGCTGGTTTTCAATGCTTCTCTAGCTGATATCAGTCCGTGATCAACTCGTAAAAAAACATAACTAACCCTTACAAACCAAACTATAGAAAATACAAAAACCTTTATTATAATGGACTAATTAACCAAGCATCTATATACACATTACGATAGGAAATGATAATATTTGAATTAACCTTTATATCTCCTGATGAATTTGTCTGGATAATTGTTATCAATCAGAGCAGAGTTGTGTCAACTTTCTTTCTACCTCATCATCAAGTGTGTCTGTCTCCAGTGCATATTCGTTGGATTCTACTGTGAAGAGGCGCCTTGCTCACTAAGGCCCTTTTGTATTGAAGAGGGCAGAAACTGTGGTAACTAAGATACTATCCTGTCTTGTCCAGGTAGATTTTCTATAATTGAAGGGCCTTAGTAAGGTGCCTCTTCAGTAGAATCCAACGAATAAGCATAGGCCGTACACAATTAGGCGTGTTTCTCGTCGAATGTCCGAACATCAACCTGCACAGTGGTTGGTTGGTTGGTTAAGTAAAGGATAAATAAAATCTATGCTCAGCGCTATTCTATCCATCTCACTCATCTTGTCGATACAGAACACAAGACTGATTGATGTTCACAAGGCGGCTTTCAGGGTCATTTACCTACCACATATCAACCAACAAATTTCAATTCCGCCTTAAGACTTCGACTACTAAATATTTCTGAGGCTGACTGGCTGGCCGGCCGGCCGTTGGGATCCATATTAACAAGCCTAATTTGTGTGCATCAAAAGAAGTTGGTTAGTTCAGACATTATCCTTACCCACTTTGCCTGGCCATCTAGGTTGCAATGATCCTGAATTTGTTGTGGAATTTTCCTAATTTTAGTTGATATTCTATTTCCTACTATATCTTTATTATTATTATTATTATTATTATTATTATTATTATTATTGTAATTTAAGCATCTTTAATGAACTGTGGTGGTGATTCCATTGTGATCTTACTGTACAAATCGATATTATTTGAAAAGCACACTAATATTGTTATTGACTACTACTACTAATCTAGAATATTCTATGTATATAAACATGCATGCATATATAGATATAATTGTAGAGCGAGAAAGGAGGAGGAGGAATCTATCGACGAGGGGATATTCTTTGCTCGATTATTTTGTGTTTTATAGATGTCTGAATGAATATTTTGCTATATTAAAAAAAAAGATAAACATAACAGAGGTAATGAATAAAAAAAGAGTGAAATATATAAAGAACACCAATCAAAGCACGATAAAGTAATGAGAACAACAACCACACTCACTTCAGGCTCTTGATTTACATTCCATACACTGATATATCCAGTCCCATCACCAGAAGCAAATACAGCTGGATGTACAGGACTCCATGACACATCGTAAACATAGTCTGAATAGTCATCGAATGTGTATATTGGCTTATTCTCCCGGGTAGACCATAAGCGTACAGTCCAATCAAATGATGCGGTGAGGAAAAAGGAAGAGAAACTAAAAGCCCCCGGACTTGGATGAGTCGATATGGCTGTCAGAGGTGCTTTATGACCTTTGTAAGTAACATGACGCGAAGATTCGTCAGCAGTACCAGTTCGACTATGAAAATAAATAAATAAATCATAATTATCTTCAGTTTAAAACAATCGGTGTTCCATTTATGAATTTAAATAAAGCAATAAGAAGGAAGACGTAATTTGTCATTTCGAACAATCTGATCCATGACACACACTCACGGGGTTGTCATAGAAATATACGGAATATATGGAAATAATAAAAAGAGTTCAGAGGTGGGTGGGTGAGAAAATAGACTTGACTTCTTAGGTCAAGTTAAAAATGGAGGACATATTCAAGGTGAAAATAACAATGAAGATGAATGGCTAAACCAAATAACTTAGGTAACATAGTACATCTACCCTGACTGGCTGGTGGCGATCAAAACAAACAAAGTTTACCACCAACAAGGAAGGAAGGTAGGTTTAGTTAGTGTGATGACGAATTGCTGCTGCTTTGAAGGCATAAAGGTATTTTGAACATCCTAACTACCAGCTAGGGCTTCCGCAAAACGTTTAATAGATAGGTTTAATAAATGTGTTAGCGTCAATTTTATGTCCTGTCTCCTCTATAAATATGTTCCGCAATAGACGAGCTAGGCCTCCTGTTCTCAAGATTAATGGGTTCTGAAGATTCTATTTGACTCTGGGGCCATTAAGGAATATCCTCTGAAGACAGCCAGCCAGCCCTTACACTTGCAGAGATCATCGACGAGTCCTCCTTATGGATGCTTGGCTGTAAAGGGAATTCCAAGAAAACATATTGCACTGATTAAGGCACTCTATTCGTACTCATACAGCCAGGTGAGGGCTTACGGCGAGCTGTCATCTGAACTGATGACGACCAGTGGTGTCCGTCAAGGATGCCCATTATCCCCTTTTCTATTCAACTTCATCATAGATGTGTTAATGGACTTAACCCTAGGTGACTTCAGCGACTCAGGGATTGACTTGCTACCAGGGAATAATCTCGTTGACTTGGAATATGCAGATGATATTGTCCTTCTAGGCGAAGACGCTGACGAAATGCAGAGTCTTCTAAACACCTTGAGCCGCAATCTACGAATGTTTGGCATGCGATTCGCTCCCCGTGAAATGCAAAATGATGTTACAGGACTGGACTACATCGACGCCTAGTTTAAAAATAGGGAGTGAAGTGATAGAGCACGTTGACCGCTTCACTTATCTGGCAAGTATCATCATCCAACACCAACGGGTTGATCTCTGACGAAATCTCAGCTGAGTACGGATACAGGGGGCTCGTTTCGCATTTGACAGTTTACGCCGACTCTGGCGTAGACGAGATGTTCGACTATCGACCAAAGGGCGGGTGTACTGCTAATCAGTCCGCTCCGTCCTCCTTTATGGCTGGCTGTGAGACATGGCCATTGAGAGTGGAAGACATGAAAAGCCTGGCTAGCTGTCTTCGATCATAGGTGCCTGTGTTCTATCTTCCGTGTAAAGTGGCATAATAAGGTGAGCAACATTGAGGTTAGGCGTCGAGTTCTAGTTAAACAGGGGAAATCAATCGACGAAGTCGTGAAGCTGCAAAGACTGAGATGGTTAGGACATGTGTTACGTATGCCAAGCCATCGCCTCCCTCGACGAGCAATGTTAGCGGATATAGGGTCAGGCTGGAAAAGAGCTAGCGGCGGTCAAACAAAAACTTGGCATCAGTCAATGAAATCCACAACAGTTGGTCTAAGCCACGTAGGAAGGTGTAGACTTCCAGGCTGGGGTCCTCGGGACGGTAAAAATCTATGGTTGGAAACAATTGGTGACATGGCTCAAAATCGTTCTCAGTGGAGCAGATGCATCCACTCCCTGTGACTTATGATCTTCAATGAAACTGTTTTGTTCTTCGTTATTACTCCGCCTTTGTCTCACACCTCTGCTCACTGTTTCTATTATGCTTTTCTTGTACTTTCTTCTCTTGCTTCGCGTGCTACACGGAGTGTGGAGACTTGAACTTCCGCACATTTGTGCAAAGTTCTATGTCGAAAACAGACAGACAGAGATGGATGTTTGTCGTAATTGAGAATGTGAAGCCAATATATCTATCCATCTAAGCCCTTCGAACATGCGAAGAATGATGTCACATGATGCCCATTATACTTATCAGTTTGAATGTACTTGTGGCCACACACAAGTTATTAACTGTCTATTTATTGTAAACATACACAATACAAATAATACGTGAACAAAGCAAGAAACAAAAAACACAATTGTACCAGAATATGAGATAATATAAGCTATTTCTTTTATGATTTTTATTATTATTTCGAAGATTCTTCTCAACTGATTACAACTTTTCCACGATCATAAGGAGTAGTAATTGGTTGGTGGTAGGAAGTAAAAGTAACATTAGTCCGGAATATGCTGATTTAACTAATTAATTAAGAGTTACAAACACACTGACTATTTATAGAATAATTATACAATATTAGGCTGGGAAATAAAAACGGAACAGAGTTGTGTATATTTGCATGTGTATAGAAACAAGGTTTAGCTACAAAGAGCATAACAAAAAAAAGAGTAGATTACGTAACTATGGAAAATGTTTTATCTAATATCGAGTCATGTTTAGATGAGAGAGGGTGAGAGGGTAGATTTTTCTAAACAAGAAACAAGAATGACTCATTAAAAAGTTGTACATTTATTTTGTTATCACCATGGCAGTGGAAGATTCACACCACTGTCCCTTTCTGCGTACATAAATTTGGTGCTTAAAGTCGTTTGTGATAGCAATTGCTTTAGTAAAGCGTAGCAAGCTAGATTTCTTTTGCTTGTTGATTATTCTGAACGATTTCAAGTTGACTTCTACAATATGACCACCAGTGTTCAATAGATGATGCGAAATTACACTGTCTAATGCTTCAGTAATGAAATGAATTATTAGCTGATCGCAAAAGAGATAAATTAAAACGATGAGTGAAGTCGTATTTGTGTTACTGTATAACTACATCAAGTTATTGACTGTCTATTGATTGTCACCTCTCTATCTCCTCGCTCAACTTCATCGACTTTGAAAAGACCTTCGACAGCCCAGAGTCGATCGAGAGGTGATTTGGCAACTAATTCGCTACCGCCCCAAAGGGGTACCACCGACAATTATACATCTCATCCAACAGTTAGTTGTAAGACAACACTGCATCCCAAGTAATCCACAAAGGGAAACTTACGGAATCCTTCGAAGAAGTGAAGACGAGAGTAAGACAAGCTGGCTGGCTGCCTACTATCGCCAATGATTTTCCTGATTGCAGTAGATTGAATAATGCGACAGACAGACAGCGACGGGAAGCGGGGAAACAGGCCTAAAATGAACCCACACGAAGAAAGAACTTGGAGGATCTGGACTTCGCCGATGATATATGTCTGATTTCCCACAAACTGGAAAATATACAAGTGAAAAGCGACAAGTCTGTCTGTCTGTTTTCGACATAGAACTTTGCACAAATGTGCGGAAGTTCAAGTCGCCACATTCCGTGTAGCACGCGAAGCAAGAGAAGAAAAGCGACAAGTTGGCAGAACGAGCATCAAAGATAGGACTTCCTTCAGGTGGACACAGAGGTGATGAAGATTTCTGGCCAACACCAACAACATAAAACAATCAGCCTGCATAAATGGGAGGAACCTGAAAGAAACAACCTCCTTCACCTACCTACCTGGGAAGCATAGTTTCAACCACAAGCCAATGGAACTGACGAGAATATCAAAGCAGCGAAGATCGGGAAAGCAAGACAAGCTTTCATTACTCTCAAGTCTGTTTGGAGGGGGTCAACAGCACTCAGCATGAAAATGTAACCACGATCCGGATTTTCAACTCCAATGTGAAGTCAGTCAGTGGTACTCACCATACAGTTCAGAGACTTGGCCAGCGCGCCATGAAGACCACCTCGAACAAACTACAGACTTTCATCAACAGCTAAGTGTATTTGTTCAATACTACTCAAGATCAGATGGCCGGGCGGCCAGAAAATATCAGCAACATTGAGGGATCTCTGGCAATGAGCGAACCAACACAGAATGAACCGATTGTGCAACAAATAATCAAGAAGAAATGGAGGTAGATTGGATTGTGGCCATCCTCTGAGAAAACAAACCATCAATTGAGTGACATCACTAGACAAGCCATTGGTCGAGTGGAACCCGACTGAATGGGAAGCGGCGAGTTGGTCGTCAGCGTGAGGGTGCCTTGGAGGAGGAGGTCATGTGAAGAGGAGATGATGAAAGCATGTGGGCTGACTTTGAGTCAGATGAAAACTCTGGTAGAGAACCGAAGGCAATAGAGAGTTGGGAAGTTGAAGCCCTATTCTCCTCTAGGAATTAAAGGAAATAATAATAATAACAATAAATAAAGTCATTGTAGTTCACACCTACCTACTATGCCGTTGTCCACAATAAGCATTCCCATTTTCCGCTCCAACTGCATAATTGTTCACATCGTTAGCAAAGAATGACATACACGTCGGGTAGACATCGAATAAACCACCGGAGGACATTTCGCATACTTTAGTTTTCTCTCTTGGTTGTGATAACATTTCCAAGCTCCATGCACATAATGATCCATCTGTTCCCAGGCTTATTATATTATGCGCATTTTGTGTACCGACTAAGGTGATTGCGAATACTGGATGTGTATGAGCCCATGATGTTAGTGGACTGCGTTGAACTGGGGTACGTTTCAAAACCCTGCACAGAAAAACAAAATCAAAAATGAAAAGACAGACACATATCATCAATTCATGGATAATCCCCATCCAGGCATCAATGAAAACAAGACATGTAGATCAGCGAAGAGACACTTTTCGGCGATGAATTCACTCTCTTAGCTGTACAATCGCAAATATATATATATATATATATATATTATTTCGTATGTATGTGTAGATTGTGTCAAACAAAAGTAGATAATTGGTTATGGCTATTTTAACCAACAAGGTGAAGATTGGTAATACAAGTCATGAAAATTGTCTGTCTGTCTGTTTTCGACATAGAACTTTGCACAAATGTGCGGAAGTTCAGGTCGCCACATTCCGTGTAGCACGCGAAGCAAGAGAAGAAAGTACAAGAAAAGCATAATAGAAACAGTGAGCAGAGGTGTGAGACAAAGGCGGAGTAATAACGAAGAACAAAACAGTTTCATTGAAAATCATAAGTCACAGGGAGTGGATGCATCTGCGCCACTGAGAACGGTTTTGAGCCATGTCACCAATTGTTTCCAACCATAGATTTTTACCGTCCCGAGGACCCCAGCCTGGAAGTCTACACCTTCCTACGTGGCTTAGACCAACTGTTGTGGATTTCATTGACTGATGCCAAGTTTTTGTTTGACCGCCGCTAGCTCTTTTCCAGCCTGACCCTATATCCGCTAACATTGCTCGTCGAGGGAGGCGATGGCTTGGCATACGTAACACATGTCCTAACCATCTCAGTCTTTGCAACTTCACGACTTCGTCTGTTGATTTCCCCTGTTTAACTAGAACTCGACGCCTAACCTCAATGTTGCTCACCTTATTATGCCACTTTACACGGGAAATAGAACGCAGGCACCTATGATCAAAGACAGCTAGTCACCTTTTCATGTCTTCCACTCTCAGTGGCCAGGTCTCACAGCGAGCAATAAAGGAGGACGGAGCGGACTGATGAGCAGTACACCCGCCCTTTGGTCGATAGTCGAACATCTCGTCTACGCCAGAGTCGGCGTAAACTAATGAAAATTAGGTGTTAATGAGATTAGGGTAGTAACAAAGGTGATAAGTTGTCACAAACAGTTGTTTAAAAAAAGTTATGTAATCATATGAATAGTTTGATGAGTGAGTTTTACTCAGGGTGCACATAAGAACAAAGTAGATAATACGAAATTACGTAGGAGTTCTGAATGAATACAAGAATTATAAGAATTAAAGAACAGACAAAGAAACAAAATTAAGTCATCAAAATCAACAAAGTTGTTACCATGACAATAGAAATGGTTGAGTAATCTTCTTTTGTATGCACAGCTCTGGTTTTTCTATGTGAATGGCCAGAGCTTCAGAGATACAAAGAGGACGAAACCGTATTGCCTTTGATAGGTTATTCTTAACTCTGTGGATTACTTTGAAGCAGGAGGTATCTGTTGAAATGGAATGATCAGTTTTAACCAGGTGTTCAATTATTGCACCACTATTACCTTTTCTCAACCATGCTGGTTGGATAGTGTTCTTGAATCCTCTTGGACGGGATGCGCGTCGAATGACCGATGTACCTGGCTGGCTCCACAGTAGCAGGTGAACTGATATATGCAACAACTGATATATTTAACAGATGTTTGTGACAACTTATCACCTTTGTTATTACCTTAATTTCATTTACACCCAATTTTCTTGACTGATTTTGTATTACGTAACTCCAATTACCAATCTTCACCTGTTTAGTAAAAATAACTATAACCAATTGTCTATTTTTGTTTGACGAAATTAAGGTACACACACATACAAAATAACACATGTGTATAAATTTGCGATTGTACAGTTGAGAAAATGAATTTGCCGCCGAAAAGAGACTCTTCGCTGATCTATATGTGTTTTGTTTATTTATCATCAAATCAACGACAACACTTTTTCAGGTGTACGACTGACAATAAAATCCGTTTAACTGATTAACTTATTTAAAACTTTGACGGCACGCTTTACAGGCAAGTGGACAATGGTAATGGCCATGGGCTCCCCATTTCGGCTGATTTCTTTCTAAGTGTAAGCTAGAAAATGGACCTTTGAACAACCACCTTGTCAGAAAATTCTCATTTTATTCCCGGTATATGGATGATACCTTCATTCTTTGTGATATAATGATGATTCGGATATAGGAGTACAACAACTACTGAATTCAATGAAGTAAATTCTTCACTATGAAATTCACATGCGCGAAGAGGAATCCCATAACGAAATGAATTGCCTTCCTGGATCCCGGCCTCCTCCTTACACGAAAACCAGATGGTAGCATAAAAAAAACAAATTTGCATAGACAAAAGTACTTGGACAGGACAACGTTATACACGCTTTCACAGCTTCGTTCCTCTCAAGTACAAAAGAAATTTAGTAAAGTAAAGCTATGTGCTCAGAAGAAGTAATTGAAGATGAATTGAGCATTGTATATGATACTTTGATCCCGACAAATTTATCAAGAATCACATGACAGAGAAAGCGGTGGAAAAGGACTACTCACTATCCATCCGTAAACAAGAAGCCTCTTAATATACAACTGCAATTCAAAGGCAATAGATATACCAAGTGAGATATAATTACGAAGAAATGAGGAATATCAGTTCAAAGAACTTTTAATGCTGGCAGCGAACTACACGTCTTATTCTCTACACGACCGATGCTGATTCCTCGACTGAAACATGAAGTACCTAGACGAGACTAGCTGGCCACTTCAAATTGTATCTACCAATTCAAATGCAAATGTGCTTGTGCTTGTGGTGGAGCGAGTTAAATTGGCCGTTGTTGCTCTAGCTAGGAACTTGATTTTTAATGCTCACTCGGGGACATCTCCCATTATGGCTAAGTAGAGGTGTAGTGAAAACCATCATTAGCAGTTGGATATTGGACCATCTGGTGCAAACCGACCGGTCGGTCACAAAGCCAGCCAGCCAGGCAGTCAGAGCAGAATAATCCTTCCTTCTCTATTTTCATCTACCGGGTGCCTAATAAATTGACAAAATCATCACCGAAGCACCCATCGAATGCTCCAAACACCAAAGACTATCACAATTCACCTCAAACAACCAGTGAGTGCTCTGTGTGTGTGGAGACGAAGCAAGTCCAGCCAGCTAGCCAGCCCCTACTACTGCTCTGACTGGCCTTCAGTGGGTAGAGACTATAAATTCATGTATTTGTAATATTATCTCTCCTAATTTCTCTGTCTGATATTCAGTGTGTATTGTTATGTTGATGCTATTGAACTGGAATCCATTGGTATCACTATTATTATTATTATTATTGATTCGATGTTATTTAAACAGCAATATTAAATGTTGTTGTTCATAACACTAATTCATTCATTCACTTTAATGGATGGATATATAACTGTACAGCCTGATGATGAGAATGAAGGGGTTATCGAAAAGAGTATTTATTCTTTGTTCAGTATACTTACTTTACTTTACTTCGGCTATCTCCTACGGGAGGATGAGCCGGCTTCATGAACATCTCGAATCATCGCTGCCCAGGCGCGCCGATCTGATGCAAGGTTTTGCGACAGGGTTATCCAATTCTTGTTCCACAGACGACGAAGTCCGTAGACGGTTTGTAGCCCCAGCCCAGCACTCCATATCAGCCCTGACTGTACCAAGCCATGTTTTCAGTTGTCCACCCCTGCGACATCGCCAAGATGGAAATGTCGAGAGATTTAGAACTGATTTGACCAGATCGTCATCTGGTCGGCGCACAACATGGCCAAACCACCGAAAGCGACGTTGTTCGACCAGTACTGGAATTTGGTTGATGTTGTTTGTAAGAGAGTTCATCAAGTTTCATGGGAATTAGGTACGAGTGATGTCCCCACCATCGCTCGGCCTTTTGTTTCAGAGTGCATGTCTAGTCTTTACACAACCAAGTGTGACCTACAAGGCAGTAGGAGTGGAGTAGGGAGTCCACTATCCATTGTCACCCGGTCACCGGAGTCCGGTTCATACGCCTTTTTCAATGGGGCCAAACATCCAGGGCATCCAATAAGCCCTTTGTCCATACGTCTCCCGGTGAGCTTCATACGCCAGTCGTTGGAGGATTGGAATCAGGGTTTAGCCATTTCCCCTAGACTGTCATCCAATGGACAGTCAACCCGGTGAAGAGCGCCGGTCATCCGCTTTTGCCCTCTCACTTCGGTGAAAAACACCTCCGCCACGTGAAGGCAGTGAGTAGGACTTCCTCAGGAGAGGCTATGTAAGACGCCCGGTCATATGGGAGCATTTCAAGAGGTGTACGGAGGGGTGGCCAACCCGTAGCGCAAGGCACCCACACTCGACCATCCTGAGGCTTTGGAGGCTATCTATCCATTCTTTTGAAAATCGGTTTATAAATGTGTTGCATATAAGATATATTTGAGAAAATGCTGAGTGTATGTGTAACAAAGCTGTATATACTCGTCCGGATAGGCTTGATATATAATCACGGAAGTTAAGACGCAGTTTGCTAGACAAACAGTCCCAAAAGGTGAGCAGATGTCCGCTCAGAACATTATCCAGTGTCCAAGGAACACAGTCAAAATCAAGGCTACAGGCCCTTAAAGAAGCTTGGAGGGCGGGGGAGAAATCACAATCACAAACTATAGGATGAAACTACAAAGGACACATTCACTACAGCCCCCCATTTGTGTGAGCACAGCCGAAGATACTGCAACCAACTCTCTCTGCACGTGAATCTAAAGGAAACACCTGTATAACCAACCAACACCATCTTAAGAAGGAATGGACAAAAAAAAAGGAATGGCTTCCTACGAAAACACAAGGAAGCTAAATAGAGAAGAAGAGATGGATGGTAGATAGAAAAGAGAAGATGAACCAGTAAGAGTAAAAGAATAAGCTGAGTTCAAAACATTAGAGATGTAGCCCCTTATGCAGAATTTCATACAGTGAGATTCCCTTTTTAATAAATTTGAACAAAGAGAGAAGAAGAAACATTGGCGCGCAGAATAATCTGGACCCACTTTAT